TGTCTTAGTAAGGTGTAATAAGAGGCTGAGTTGTGAGAAGATTGGTGGAAAGCACAAGGCATTGGAATTAAGTCTAGGCAAAGGAGCATTGCCATGGAAGCATGAGCAGAAAGAACATTTTTTCCTGGTCTCTGACTACAGGAATTGTGAAGACCAGAAACAGACTGTGCTCTTGAACTAAGAATCTGAAAACCAGTAGAGTTCCATGAAAATAGTGTTGATAAGTGATGGTGGTAACAAGCAGCAGATAAAATTTCCAAGATTTCAGAGTGATTCATAACCGAAATGATATAATTTGACACTGTTATGCTAAGTTGTAGGAAGTTTAGTGTTTTTCAAAAGACTCATTGCATGTATTTATACACAGATGCACACATGTAGAATGGAATATCTGGAAAGTTGTCTGTTAGAATTTTATTCATAATTTGACTGAGGAAGTGATTTTTCCCCAAGTGAATTGATTCTTATTTTTCTTCATAGTAGCAGCTTTAAGTAAATAAGATAATGAAAAGTTATCTTTGAAGCCTAGCCTAGGTAGGTTTGCAAGCAAGAGAAGGTACATGTAGTAGATTCATTGTGCCAATGAAAGCAATTGAGCAGCTTGATAGAACAGCATCAACATCCTGGAATAAGTAGGAAGAAAGGAGTAATTCTTAATTGCCAATTTGTAGAGCTTTCATGTCCTGATTTGTGATGCAGAAGTGCTTTTGTTCTTCTCTGGCTTTTTCTCTGAGAGGCTTTAGCTTGAGTGCTTGTTCTGTAAGTATAAGATTGCTAGAAAAAATTACAACTGTGGCATTCAGGAGAAAGGGGACAGTGGTAGAACTCAGCCCGATCTCCATCAGGTTCAAGTAGTTGTAAGTATACTAGATGTTGAATCATTCCAAATAAAAGGAGGGTGTAGTATAAGGTGTACTTTGTTATCTGACAACTAGTGAAATACTTATGTCTTCATATTAAAATTTTGGGGGTGTGGCCTCCCAATCAGTATTCACTTAGGGCCACTCCCAGTATATTGGGACCAACTGGACCTTGGTTCAGCCCAGTGCTGAGGAACCAGCAGGGCCACTAGGGCTGTACCCGCATGAGCTCTAAGACACATGGTGCATTCTAACTCATGTACTGCATCTCCAATCACTTGATCATCATCTTAAAGCAAGGAAGATTTATGTAGGGCAAGCAGGATATAGTCTCAAAGCTAACATTTCAATAATTAATGTATTTTCTGGTCCTTCTCTTCTTTCTTTTGTGGGCTAACTAATAAAATGAAGTCAGTGTGACCTCATGGATCTAGTTACATTTATGACCTTTCTTGGTATAATCATAACTATGCATTGCATGAATTTTTTATATTTTAGAAAGTATACTGGCACTTCAGATTGCATTATATCTAAGTTTTACATTAGGTTAACAACAATATTTTATTTCCTTTTAAAAATTACTTTTACCTCTAGATAAACACCATGAAGTTCACGTACCAGTTTTGAGGTGCTGTTCCAACATTTATGAACACTATGCTCCATTTCATATCCCTCGAAATTCTTGATTTTTAATTTATACATTTTGGGGTTCTGGTGTTTGACTAAAGGTCAGGTCCTTGAGTAACACCCCACATGTAACTGTGGCCATGATCCTGGTTCAAATCCTCATCACAGATGGTACCACAAATACTGCAAGTTGCTTTGATGTTGTCTTGAACAGAAATTAGCAGAATGTTTTATAGATGAGTGTACAGTATAATTTATAGCATATCTTCAGAAAAGATATAAATATAAGGAAATACATTGTCCTAAGTTTAAATATCCTGAATACGTTATTTTTCTTTAAAAATTTGAGATAATTTGTCTAAGTTATGCAACCTAATTAAGAATTAAACAGGTTCTAAATGCACTGTGTTTTATATATGCATACATTTGTGTAATCAGTAAGAAAATGGGACTACATCAATTTAAAGAGCTGCTTTTGCATGGCAAAAGAAACACAGACTAAAACTAAGACTCAACTAAATGGCAGAGAATATTCACATGCTACACATCAAATAGAGAATACACAAAGCCAAGATATAAAAAGCACTCACAAAGATTAACAATAACAAAAGCCATAAACCCTGTCCTAAATGGGGAGATTAAGTGAACAAAATAAAATAAATGAACAGACTTTTCCTAAAATGACAGAAGGATGACCTATAAGCATATGAAAAAGTGCTAATCATCATTTATTATAGGGTAATTCAAATCAAGACAACAATGAGATGTCATCTTACACCAGTGAGAATGACACACATCAGAAAAACTGGGAGCAGTCTGTGTTGGTGGGGATGTATTGACAAAGGAACTCTTCATTCACTGCTGGGAATGTTGTCTGGTTCAACCCCTATCAGCCAGCTTGGAGGTATCTCACGAAAGTGAGAATAGAGCTGCCATGCAACCTAGCAAGTCCTCTTCTTGGTATCTACCCCCAGGGCACCGAAGTATTCATACAAAATGACACACATACACCATTATTCTTTGCAGCACTTAGCATGATAACTAGGACATAAAGTCAACCTAGGGGAATGATCACTTTGGACAAGAAATGAGTGCTGCAAATAGGTAGAGGGACAAACATGATAATCTTTCAGTACCTGCCCAAACCACATGCCCAAAAGAAAAGAGATAGAGTGCAAGGGAGAGGTGAGGACGGGAGAGAAACTGGGGATATTGGTAGTGAGAAATTGGTGAAGGGATGGGTGCTGGAACATTGTATTACTGAAACCCAGTCAGGAACAGATTTGTAACTATGTATTTCATGGTAATTCAATTAAGAAAAAAACAATAAAGTCAACCTAGGTGTTCAATAACAGATGAATGGATGATATACATATATATATTTTCTTATGTTTCATAAAATTTTGTCACTTATGCTCCCAAATTTGATATTTTTAAAGTTGTTTTTCATTTAAGTTCTTCTAGCCAGAGAATTTTTTTTTCAGTTTTAGTATCTTCATTTCTTTCTAGTTGACACATTCTTCATATGATATTGTTCCTGTCCATGTGAATTCTAGTCCTTATTTATATCTTCAAATATTCTAAAAACACACATTTGAAAGACTCAGCTTTTCTGTTTAATTTTTTTCTTACTCTGTATAAAATCTCTTACAGAGACTGAGAATTCCTCATGGACTTCTGCTTTGTCTGGGGGATTTCTTTTTTTAAAAAAAGATATTTTAATTCTACAAGTTATATTATCCTTCAATTCAAATTCAGTTTTATTTATTTATTTATTTTTGCTTTTTGGGTCACACCCAGCAATGCTCAGGGGTTATTCCTGGCTCTCCACTCAGGAATTATTCCTTTCGGTGCTTGGGGGACCATATGGATTGAACCCACTCCGGCCCCCTGGAGGATTTCTTAATTGTGACATTGATATGGTTTCTCCTTCAACATCCAACTATCTTTCAACTATGTATTGATATTCTTAAAAACAACTCTAAGGGCTGGAGTGATAGTACAGCAGGTAGGGTGTTTGCCTTGCACATGGCTGACGTGAGTTCAGTCCCTGGCATCCCATATGGTCTTCCATGCACCGCCAAGAATAATTCCTGAGCACAGAGCAGGAGTAACCCCTGAACATCGCTGGATGTGACTCAAAAAGCTAAAATAAATAAATAAACAAATAAACTCTAGGTTAGGTAATTTAATTTTTTTCTTTAAAGGTTTTTCTGGGAATTTTTAAAAATTAAACTAATATTTTAATTAATATATTTCTAGTTCCATGCTGTACTGATACTTTGGTTTTGATTTTTTAATCCAATTTATTTTCTCTTCTTCCTCATAGTTTGTACTATGGGAGAAGTGAATAGAGGAGGCACGTGACTGATTGTAGCACTTGTACACATAGCTGAGGGTTAAATATTTTTAGTAGCAGGACTTACACACTTGCACATGGGATCTCTTGCTCCTGCAGCAGTGCTTTCATGTATTCTGATGTTTGTGTTTCCTGGGACTGGTTATACATCCTGGTCATGGTTCTTATACATGTTTAGTTGAAGTGCCTGCCAGAGGCAACACACTTTAGTGTGGGACTCAGATGTGTCTGACTGATGAGATTGTACTTTTATTAAAGAAAGGCCAAGAGTCCTTAGAGAAAAACTTTTTAAAACTATGAGCCATGATTGTGGGTCACCTATGTGACTGGGGGGATGTCATGACAATTGGTTTCAAAATCCTTTTTTTTTTTTTTATCAGTAAATGTTTCATTTGTATGACTGTTTTATATACTTTCATGCCCAAGGTGGTGGAAACATTTCTTGGGTCAAGAGGGGTTGTGAGTAGAAAGAGTTCTTGAATCCCTGCATTCGAGTACCTCACGAGATTGTGCTCAACGCACATGAGTGTCTCTGGCGATAGAACCCAGAACCTCACACACAGAAATCAGTAGCCTTTAGCCTCTGCGCCATCTGCTGGGCACTGCATTAATAATTAGATGTGGAATCTCACCTTGCAGACCTTGTAAATCTGGGGTTCTTATTTTTCATAGTTCCTATAGTATCTTATCTTCGGTTCTCCCCTTTTCTACGATGCTGACCTAGGATGAGAGTCCTCTTCTGTGGCCTCTGTGTGTGTGTGTGTGTGTGTGTGTGTGTGTGTGTGTGTGTGTGTGTAAGGAGTAATCTAGTATTTGGTTCATGGGCAAACAGTCCTCACACATCTAGTCTACACGAAGAAGACGAATGATCAGCTATACATACACACATTTCTTAGTCTCAGTTGGTTAATAATGGCTTTGGACAAGCCATTTGGTTTTAGTCTTCAGCTCTATATCTGCCGTTAAATTTTCTCTTTGTGTTTCCCAGTTTTGTTATTAATCTTGTGAGGAGTTGGGTGGTGGAAGATACCTTGTTGAGCATTTCTGTGTGATTAAGCTGAGATAACTTGTTTGTAGCATATATTGTATCATCTGGAAGTCTGCTTATAATTTCATTTGGTCATGATGTTTTGTTTTTTCTTTTTCTTTTTCAGCTAGTTATATATCAAATCCCATTTGCAAGGGCTGTTTGTCTTGTTCCAAGGACAATGGGTGCAGCCGATGTCAACAGAAGTTGTTCTTTTTCCTTCGAAGAGAAGGCATGCGTCAGTATGGAGAGTGCCTACATTCCTGCCCCTCAGGCTATTATGGACACCGAGCTCCAGATATGAACAGATGTGCAAGTGAGCAATTGAGTTTTATCTATTTTATCATTTTTGCAACATAGGGGAATGAAGTAAGTTAAAAATTTGTCTTAAGAAAAAGCATATTTTTAACATGCAGAAATAGGTTAAGCATAAAATTTAAAAATTGAGTAGGTTGGGATAACAACACTTTATCTTTTGTATAGACATTGCACAACTCACATGTTTTCTAATATTGCAAAAGTATTTTTCTCAAGAAGCATATTAAATATGTGGTTGTTTGGCAAATCTTTGTAAGGCATACTTATCACTTATCAACAAAATTGGAGGTTTGTGGAGTCTGTGTGAATTTAAGTACTAGGGACATTCTCTAGTTTACCTTGTGTTTGAAGCATCTTTTTCTTCATTTTGCAACATTCCATATGTAATTTTTCTAGATACATTTAAAGTCCCGTAAACCATTATTATTGTTTTAAAAAATAACCAAATATTTTATTTACTTCATAATATTCAGAAACATAAAGAACAGGTAAGGAAGAGTATTCTCTCCATAGGAATGAAGGTTTAATATTTTTGGGCAGGGGGTGGCGGAACACCTTGCAGTGGTCTGAACTTATTCTTGGGTATGTGCTCAGGGATCACTTCTGGCAGGCTCAAGGAACCCTATGGGGTGTAGGGGATCAAACATTGATCAGCCGCATGCGAGGCACTCTACCCACTGTACCATAACTCTCCTGCAGGTTTAATTTTTTCATCTTGCAATTAAAAAATAGTAAAAGAATTATTCTTAACTTTTGGGTAAGCAGTAGAAAACACAATTGAAAAAATAGACGTCAGGACTGGAGAGAGAGCACTGTGATCAGGAGCACATATTTTGCACACAGTAGTATGGAATTCAAACCCTGGCACCAAATGACCCCAGCACAGACACTTCTGAGTGTAATTCTGGAGGCTTCCAAGGAGTAGCCCCCAGAACCCCTATGTGTTGCTTGAAAGCATTTCCCCCAATAATAATGAGCTAGAACAGTTTTCAAGGAGCTGAAAATTTTGGAATAGAATATGCAAGATAAAGGGTAACATTGAATGCAATTACAAATGGTCAAGAAGATTATCATAACTCAGCACACCAAATGTTAAATCAACAGGCAACCAATAAGTATTGGAGTGATTTAATTGTATCCAAGTAACACACTGAATTGTATCCAAGTAACACACTGTACATGAGTATTAAAGCAGTTGAGGTCTTATAGATAAAAGGAAAAAGTTAATTGTCGAATCTAAAAACTAATGGTTGAAAGGAAGTAGACCTGATGGAAGAGTTAGAGTCTAGAAAAAAGAAAGCACATACGAGAAAACAGTGTTTGGGGAACAGGAGTTTTATCTGGGGAACTGCTAACATTTTGGCAAGATATCTTATCCCATGTTGCTAGACTTCAGTACCTTCCAATTTAAATGCATATTGTGCCCTCAAGTCACTGGGGATAAATAAAAATGTCCCCAGTCACTTGCAAACACCTCTATGGGTATTAAGCTGGATAAAAGCCACTGAGTAGCATATACTTAGTAAAGTGTGGTTGGAATGTAGTATGAAAAGGATACAAATGATAAATTCAGTACAAATAATAAAGGTCTTGGAAGTCAGACTGAAGAAGTCGGAGTATTTTCAGAGTTTTGAGAAATATTATATTTATGTGATTGCTATATTTTTGACAATTCTAGCAGAAATGAGGAAGGTGAATTGTGGAAGGATTGAAAAGTAGAAAAACTGTACAGTAATTATAAAGTTTACCATAACCCAAATATTAGAAATCATCTTCTGGTTTAAAAAATATTTATTTTTAATGAGTTCCAGATAATTCTTTAAATGAACTGATGACACTTAGTAATTAATAACACAGAGAGAAGAAATATAAATTTGCTTCTAAGGTTTTTATCTAAGATGAATGGGTGAACAGTTTTGACATTATCAGAGAAAGAAATAAACAGACTAAAGGAAATTTGGATTTACTTACATTTTTATTGAGTTATTTGATTTAACAATTAAAAGGCCATAAATCTTAATCAATATCAGTAAGGTTGGTTATTATTTTTTGTTTTGGGGCCATGCGCAGAAGTGCTCAAAGCTTACTTTTGGCTGAACATGACTGGTTAATTTTTGTGATATGTATTTTGTTCTTAAGTTTTATGATTTTGGCTACCTGGTAGCTTTCTATTTTTGAGCTTCCATAGGAGATGGAATACATGAAATATATGTTTTTATTGAGTGTATAGGGCCTGGCATTTGAATCCATAAATATCCTGTATAATTTTCACTTTAGCCCAGCCATCAGTGCTCATGAACGATGAGGCAGGAAGATAGGTGGATCCAGAGATTAGTTTCAAATTCTGGATCTAGTATTACAAATGCCTATCAATGAAAAAGGTTTATCATATATGTGTTACTAAAGCTGAGATATTGGTGCATGAAAGAGTCTGTTGTCTATAGCTACAGAGATACTGGATAAAACCAGAACTATTTCAGGCAAATCTGTATATATTATCTGTCAGCAATCTGTTGTTTACCAACAGGGTTTTCATGAGGAGATAAGAGAAACAAATGCATTTGGGCTGAATTAATCCCTTCTCTCAGAAATAGGAAGAAAATCAATGACTGTAAATCAACCTTGGAAAAAAATGTCCTTATGAGAATTGGTTTGCTATCATTTTATACTTATTATTTGAAGTGAATACAATCAATGATGCAGTTTACTGATATAGAGAAAATCATTACTTTTCTAGTATAAGTAGAAAGCGCTTATCAACAGAACTGTGAAGCACAGTGAAGGTAGAAAATTTCAGTTCTCAATCTATAACTGGATGATAAAGGTAAAGGTAAAGTCCCTCTCGTTGATCGTCGATTTGCTCGAGCGGGCCCAGTAACGTCTCCATTGGAGACTTTGTTGTTACTGTGTCTGGCATATGAATACTCTCGGTAGCTTGTCGGGCTCTCCGAGAGGGGCGGAGGAATCGAACTCGGGTCGGCCATGTTGGCCGCTTGTAAGGCAAACGCCCTACCCGCTGTGCTATCGCTCCAGCCCTGACTGGATGATAGTGATTCTTTAACAGTTTCTAATCATTTTGTTTTATTCATAGTGCTTTGCATCTATTGCATTGTTATTTATATAAAGTAAGAGACAGATCATCTTACCTGTAAAGCCATGACATAGAAATTGAAACCACATGTATCTACTATTTGTTGAGGTTATTGCTCAAGAAGAAACCACTAAGTGGAACTTGCTCATCTGTTTTCTAATTACTAGAGTAAGATTCTAGTTGCATAGAAATATTTTCCTTCCCCAAAGACTGCATGAAATATTGACTGAAGCTAGCTTTTTGATATGTCGCACCGTTGCACTGTCCTCCCATTGTTCATCAATTTGCTCTAGGCGACCCAGTAACATTTCCATTGTAAGACTTGTTACTGTGTTTGTCATATTAAATACATCATGGGTAGCTTGTCAGGCTTTGCCATGTGGGTGATATACCTTCTGTAGCTTGCCAGGCTCTTCGAGAGGGGCAGAGGAATTGAACCCGGGTCGCCTGGGTTGACCACGTGCAAGGCAAACGCCCTATGCGCTGTGCTATGGCTCTTGATATGTAAACAGATAAAACATAAAATACAGTATGCTTTCTTCAACCAATTCAATAACCTTAAATCAGTATATTTTTCCTTAATTATTGCTTTGAAGTGGTAGGGCCACACTCAGTTTCACTCAGGGGCTCTTCCCACTTCTGTACTCAGGAGTAAGCCATGGTGGTGTCCTCTGACCACATGTAGTGCCTTGGATTTGGATCAGGAGGTAAACCAAGCATCTTAACACTTGTACTATCTCACCAACCTTAATTTATTGCTTTTTGTAACTATATGAAAGTTTAATTTTTAATTATCATGCCTCTTCTTTGTAGAAATTTTTTTGTTTGTTTTTTGCTTTTTGGGATACACCCGGTGATGCACAGGGGTTACTCCTGGATCATGCACTCAGGAATTACTCCTGGCATGCTTGGGGTACCATATGGGATGCTGGGAATCGAACTTGGGTTGACTGCATGCAAGGCAAACACCCTACCCACTAAGCTATCACTCCAGTCCCCTTTGTAGAAATTTTATACCTTTACAAAAAGCAAAAATAAAAAATTACAGAAAGATAATGAGTTGCCATTTAAAATTTTATCTCTGATTTTTGTTTCTGTCTATATTTGTCTTTCTTCCCTTATGAATAAATGTCATTGGTCTGTTTTTTAAACTTGTTTTAATACAATTATAAACTTTATGTCATTTTATATGACTGATATGATTGTATATATTCTGTTGAATGGCTATCAAATTTAGCTACTTTTGTAATTTGGTTAGTTTTATATTATGAAAAGCAAGTACATGAAAAACATTAATCTCTGTCTCTCACATATAAGTTTCTTCTACTTTTTTTAATAACATTTTGGGAGGTTACTTGGGCCATACTCAGTAGTACTCAGGGATTTGTTCTATTCTGCTCAGGGATAATTCCTGGCAGTGGTTGGGGAACCACATGTGGTACTGGGGATTAAACCAGGGTTGCCTATGTGCAAGGCAAGCAATTTAACCATTGTGCCATCTCTCTGTCTCTTCACAACCAACTTTTAACATTTTCTGAGATTTTGTGAGAATTTATATGAATCCACATATGTCAAATGACAAGTAAAATATGTAGAAAAATTTTAAAGACATTTGATACATATGTATATATCAAATACATATATATGAACAATACTTGAAGTATATATCAAATATTATTCTAGGAAATTTTTGCCACTTCACATCTTGACTAATAGAAGAATTTTCCCTTGCATCTCACCTATGCTAGGCAGCATTATAGAAAGTTAAATGACAAGTAGTGTAATATGTGGTAAATTCTTCTGTTTTATTTCTTCTATTCTTTGTCAAATAATCTATTAGATATAATTTTTTCCCACTTTATTTTCCAAAAACATGGGCAAAATCACGATCATGATCACGACCATCC